GCACCTGCAGGCCTCCTTCCTGCACACAGCTTGCTAACACAGCCCTCGGGGGTCTACTGTGGATTGCAACACCCCAGGCTGGGCCTCCTGGGGGCTGAAAGGTCTAGAAGGCAGAGCTTCTATGTAAATGGTTAACATCCATTATTATATGTAAGGAGCCTCTACAATTAGTAAAAAATAAAAAAGTAAATATAAACAGGTAATTCATAGAAGAAATGCAAATGGCCAGTAAACACAGGAAAAGATGCACAAGTTCACTAATCATCAAAAAATACATATGAAAATAATGAGGCGTCATTTTTCACCCATCAGGAAAGACAAATATTTCAAACAGAAGAACATCAGTTCGGGCCCGGGCATGGAGAGACGGCAGTGCCGTGCCCTGGGGCGTGAACGTCCACAGCCTTCTGGAGGAAGTGGCCGTGATATCGTCAGTGTGCGTCCTCTTCGCTCGGCAGACCTCCTTGGAAGCCGTCCTCCTGAAACGCTCGTGCAAGCGCACACAGATGCACAAGGCTGATCACGGCCCTCGGTAACAGGCAGGAGTCGGGGTCAGCGTGCTGCTCAGTAACAGCAGAAAGGTCAAATGCCCAGTGGCTCATCTGGAATGCCGCACCATCCTTCTGAGCAGGCCGACCTGTGCAGACGTGGAAGGCTGTCTAGGGCCTACCCTTTGGGAGAGTAAGTGACCAACCCCATCTGTGCAAGCCACAGACGGCGTGTGCACAAGTGTGTATGTTTGCATGTGCACAAATAAGGAGAAAAGAATGCAGACCGAAGGGTTCATGGTGGTTACCTCTGGGGGCAGTACTGGTGGGAGGGTGGGCATTGCTCTTTATTCCATAAATCTAAATTCTCACAATTACGTATATACTTTAAAAAGAAAAGAAAAAATGAGTTAAAAAGAAAAAGTTGCCTTAATGGGGAGGTATGTGTATATTCAATGAACAATTCTAGCAAGAATCAAAGTTTCTACACAACTTGCATACGTAAATGTTTTTCTAACTTTTTTTGTGTGCCCAAAGAGTTCCCCATACCAGACAGAAGGATACACATAAAACTAAAGTATATTTCCCAGGTTTTCCTCCTTAAATACTCTTATTAAATGGAAACAACAAGAATGCACAGACTTTGGGGGAAGAGAGTCCTCAGTGAGATTGTTGTGACTCGCTGGTGGGACCCAGCATGAGCATCAAACTCCTGGGTCACAGCCTCCTCTCTGCACGGCGGAGACAACACCCCGGGGGACCCTCCAACAGTGACAGTGCTCAGTCATTTGCATGGGCGAAGGGGAACGAGCACTCACACCTGTCTCAGCACCTTCACGGGAGAGGCGGAGGATTAAATAACTTGATTCTCGTAAAGCCCTTCACACTCTGCTTTGTAATTGTTTGCTGAACAAACTCATTAAATATATACATACAGGGCCAGGGGGGAAATAATGTAGAGGTGAGACCCTGCCGTCTGTCTTCTTCCTGCCTGTCCCCAAGGCTTCTCAGCAGAGCTGCGCTGTTGACGAGCTGTCCTCATCTCTGCTGCCTGGGGGCATTTGTTCTAACTGGTTGTGTGCTCTAAAATTCAGTTTTCCTTGTTTCTGATTATTGGTAGGACTGCAGTTCAGAACTCCCAACGTTTTCAAATGAACCTCAGGCTAGTGTCAAGGAAGCCCCCCCAGCATGGGTGAACCTTCTCCTTACCCATAGAAACCAGAGACTCGTAGTTGCCCCGCATCACGTTCTTGTAGAGCTCCTTCTGCCACTCGGACAGGTTCCCCCACTCCTGCTCGGAGAAGTGGACGGCGACATCGTCGAAGGTGACAGGGACCTGAAACCACACAAGCTCACCTTGGACCAACTGGATGGCAATTACAGGCCCTCAGTTGCCAAATCCCAAGGCAACAAATGGCTCTAAGCCCTGGCCCCTGGCTCAAACACCTCTTCTTAGGACTGCAGTGGGAAAGCCCAAAGGCACAGTGGTGGGTGTTCACCACGGACCTCTTTAGAAATCTGGCCTGACTTCAGCCACTGTCCTGGCCCCCACAGAGAAGGGCCTTGTTTTGTCTAGTCCGTTTTCTAATGGGATTATCCTTGCTGCTATAAAGCATGGTCTGTAGACCAGCAGCAATGACACTAGGGAATTTGCTAGAAATGCAGACCCCCAGGCCCCAATCTTAGACCCACTAAATCAGAGTCTGCATTTAGTAAGATCGCCACGCTAACATTTGAGAAGGGCTGGCCTAGAGAATAAAGTCCAAGTCTCGTCCCTACATAAGGCTGTGTACGGGGACAACACACAAAAGAACAGAAAGAAAACCAGTCCACATTCAAGTTCTTTTAGGATCTTCTGGGAAATAATATTAAAACCTAACTATTCTCTCGTTTTTTAGGATACCGCTTGAAATCACATTTTTACTGGCATTAACATAATTTGTAAGTCAACTGATAAAACTGTGGAGCAGGACAGAGCCCCGGAACCTTCCACCAAGGTCTCCATCCACCTTCACAGTGAACCGCTAAGTCACTCTTCTTGTGAACTGAACACCCTTCCAAACTGACCATCCCTGATCACTAAGAGGGCTTTACCAAGAGGACAAATCATGTGATTTTGGCCTATCTTGTGCTTGGTGAAGAGATGTTGGTATCACTGTATTTGTTTCTTTTTTTTATTTTTTTAAAGATTTTATTTATTTATTTGACAGAGAGAGACCCAGCGAGAGAGGGAACACAAGCAGGGGGAGTGGGAGAGGGAGAAGCAGGCTTCCCGCGGAGCAGGGAGCCCGATGTGGGGCTCGATCCCAGGACCCTGGGATCATGATCTGAGCCGAAGGCAGACGCTTAACGACCGAGCCACCCAGGCGCCCCTATTTGTTTCCTTCTTAACCAGCTCTTCTTCCTTCTTTTATATGAAATTCCTAAACCACATGCCAATTCAGATCCCTCCCCAGGAAGCCCCAGTTGGGATAGCTTTACCTTGGGAACCTCTCCATTGCTGCCCGGGGGCAGGCGCAGGATCCAGAAATTTCGGTTTTTCAGCAGGTTCTCCATGTTCTCCAGCCGCCTCTGCAGCAGCCCGTACTCCTGCAGCAGGGTCCCCAGCACAACCCACTTGCTCTCCAGGTGGTTTGCGAACTCCACGGCTGTCTTCTCGCAGTCCGCCAGCTTCTTCTCGGCCGTCCCCGTCCGCCCCTCCAGGGTCAGAAGCCGCATGGCCTGGGCCTCCAGTTTTCTCTCCACCGCTTGGACGGCAGCCCACACGGCCAAGCGGGTGATCTCCGCCGTAGGGAGTGGTGTGTCCTTCTGGGCTGCAGAAGAGATCTGGAAGGGAGTGTCTTTTTGGGAAACGGGGCTCTGAAGCAGGGGGTCCATGTCAGTCTCCGGAACTGTGGGGGAAAGGGTAAGGGGGTCTTTCTCAGGAACTTCCGGCGAGTGGAGTGGGGCTTCTTGGTGGGGGGTGGAGTGGGAGAGAAGTGATATTTCTTGTTCAGCAGCAGCTGGGGGTGGATACTGGGTCTCTTCCTGGGAAGTCATAGGACCCTGGAGATGAGTCTCTTGCTCAGAAGTGGCAGGATACAGGAGTGAGGGTCCCTTCTGGAGAACATGCGGCATTCGGCCAGAGGTCTCTAGCTTGGGAGTCTGGGGTAGGGAGCCTTGTTGGGGAATGGGGGGAGACGAAGAAGGAATCTCTCTGGGGGGAAGAACACGGGATTGGAACAGAGTTTCTCGGGGGAGTCCAGCAGGGGCCTGATGCGGAGTTTCTTCTTGCAGAACATTGGGGAATGACGGAGGTGATGAGCGTTGGGTCTCCATGTCCAGCTGCTGGACCTGTGTTCAAGGAAAGAAAGGACAGGATTGAAGGCCACAGGCTCCAGCTGACAAAGTAAATGCCAAAGATAGGCACCCACCTAAAAAGGGTTGCAGGTTTACCGGCAATAAGATACATTGCATGGACTTGAGTCTCTTCTTAAGAACCTAGTGCTGATTTAGACATCAATTACAAAACTATTATTAACAACAAAGAAAAGGTGGCCACGCCACCTTCCGCGTTGGTAGAACCATCTCTTTCTTCATAACATGCATCTCCCAGGGACCACCCAGGACTAGGAGTGGACGAGAGGGGAAAGCATGCCAGCTTCGGCTCTCAGTCCTGTCCACGCTGACGGCGGCCGGCTTACTGGGCCTCTCCGTTCTCAGTATCCTCACCCATAACACAAAGACAGTATCTAACACGCCTGCCACCTCACTGAGTCTGAGCATTGAGCATCAAATAAGACTTCGTAAAACGAAGGAGCAGAATTTTGTCAGCACCGGGCACTGTTACTACCCCAAGACTCCCAGCAAGGCGGGAGGCAACTCTGGTGGGGCCAGCACTGTTAAAGGACTTCCCTCGACAGTGAACTTGACATCTGGCCCCACTGCTCCTGCTTGTGTCAGCAGGCAGTCCCAGTGCCCCATCTTTCCCTCACATCCCCCAGTGGCGAGGACACACAAATACCTTCAGTTTCCCAGACTCTGATAAAAGCTGAATTGTGGACTTATCAGTACAATTTCTCAGAGTATGTATATAGTGAGACATGTTGCATGGACCCAGCCCCTCCTGGAGAGGCTGAATGGGCTTCTGGGCATTCCAGGCTGCCTTCTGCTTCCCCAGAGAGAGGAGAGACCCTGCCTGAGCCAGGCTAGGGGACGGCAATTTGCCCCTTGTCCGGGAGCCAAAGTCCTCAGGGCAGATGGTCCACTGAGGTAGGTGTGCGCTGGTGGTCTGAGTTCCTCCTTGTGGTTTGTGAGGTGGGCGATGAGGAGCAAAGGCCTGGAGGGACTGGAAATGGAGCGGAAGTCAGCCAGTTCTGTGACTCACGTCAAGACTGGCAGGGGGATGAGAACCAAATAAAGACTGATTCCTTTGAGGCTTTTCATTATTTATTCTCTCCCTGTTCCCCACCTTGCCACATTCATGTTGAGAGAATTCTTGTGTCACCAGGAAGGTGAAGCAAAAGTCTTCTGAGTGGCCAGTTCTGGGTTTACTTATCCAGACAATCAATAGCTTTATTGGAACTGAACTCAAGTTCTTCTATAATATGTTTGTCCATTTGCTCATAATCTTCCTTCAGAGAATCTGTTGAATGACCCATCACTGTGCCATGTACAAGTGATCTTTAATATAACCTGAAATTCCCATTCTCTTTGTTTGAAAGGAAGCATCTCCCGGGGTCCAGTCTGACATATAGTATGTGCTCAGTAAATGTCTGCTGAATGAATGAACAGTAGAAATTATTGGGTCACGGGAAAAAAAAATGTTAGGGTGAAGAATGACGTGGCTTCGGTCATCTATCAGAGCCATCTAAACCTATTTATATCTCCTACCGCTTTCTTTCCTTTATTTGTTCATTCATTCACTTACGAGGGCCTTCACTGAGACAGCACCACACTTTGAAGCCAAGAATTGAAAACCGAAGGCCTGTTCAGGCGGAATGTTCTTGAGGTAGTATGATCCAATAGCTCTGTAGCTAACCAGATGTGAGAGCTAATTAGTCAGATAACAGCTAACAGTTAGTCAGCATTTATCGTGCGCCATGAACTGTGTTAAGCATTTTAAAGGGTTATCTCACATCATCCTCAGGAAGCCCTGTGAAATGCCTTCGACTCAGGCCATGATCTCAGGGTCCCGGGATCGAGTCCCGCATCGGGCTCCCTGCTCAGCAGGGAGCCTGCTTCTCCCTCTGCCTGCAGCTCCCTCTGCTTGTGCTCTGTCTCTCTGTCTCTCAAATAAATAAATAAATAAAATCTTAAAAAAAAAAAAATAGGGACTCTGAAAACTGTTACCCACACTTAGCATATGAAGAAACCGAGGCTTGGAGAGGCCAAGCCAACCAACTTGCCCAAGGTCACAAAGCGGGCTGGCTGCAGAGCCCCCGGCCATCAGCGGGCACTGTAGGATGCCTCCGGGCCTCATCGGTCAACTGAGGCAGCAGGTCAGGTAAGTGCTCTGAATCCTTTCTACCTCTAAAATTCAGAGGCCTGGAGATTAAACAAAGACCTGTGGGAGGTTCTATGGTGGGGAAGGCCCTGTCCATAAAGACATTTCAGGGACCCCTTTGAAAACCTGATGAAAGTTGTGGATTCTCTCCCTCAAAAAAACAAAAACAAAAACAAAAAAACCACATGTGGGCGTGCATACAAAATTCTGCAAACGCTTTCAAGGGGTTCACAGACCCCTAAGCCTGAAGACTCGTCAACAACTAAGCTACCTCTCTTCACAGGTGAGGGCAGAGAGGACATAAGAGCCTCAGACGCAGGGAAAATGACTAGCAAAATGCAACACAATAGACACATTATGGCCCTGTCCTTGGAGGGGGATTAGGGTATTTGCCTACAACTAATAGGAAGAAGGGAAAAATCCCCGGGGGCCAAGTTAGTCTCCCTGAGTAATACAGGGGTTTAACTAAAACAATGAAGGAAAAAAAAAAAAAAGCTCCAGTACAGTACCGAAAGCCAGCAGAGTAAGATACCTTTACCAACTAGTCTAATCAGAGCTCAAAGGAAAGTACCATTTCTTTGCTATTACTAGATTGGCTCTCTCCACTTCCAGATTTGGAGGACTGTAGAGGGATGAGGGGGCCACAGGAACACACCCCTCCTCTACCCCCAAATTAAAGCCCCTTGCTATAATGTCCTCCGTACCAGTAAACTACGGCTTGATTTTACCCTAAGCATCAAGAGAGTGATGGAGCTGTAAATATAGTATCTAAGATTAATAAGCCTGCATTCTCAAACTGTTGTGGGCAGAGGGAGGATTCTGGACTGTGTATCACAGGATTTAAATGACCCTCCCTACCTCACGCATCCCAAGTGGATGGGGTCTCCAGGACTCATGCACCTTAGCAGAAAAAATACATAACCATCCATATCAACTTATAAAAAAAGAAAGCCGTGCCATTTTCTTGTATGACCCAGTGTGATTAACTCAGAATTATATACCATTCAGGGGCCCTGGAGACCGAAGCCCAGAGGTAGGCATTTTTAAATCTCCATTTTATTTTATTTTTCCAAGAGATGATTATTATTTTTGTTGAACCGGGAGGCTCTTTAGAAAGCATATATCCCGACCCCCTCCTGTACACAGCAGTAAACTGAGGCTCACAGGCGCTGACCCCCATGCAGCAATCCTGCTCTCCAGCACAAGCCACTGCATCTCAAAGAGCAAGTCTGCGGGGAGAGCTTAGTGCCGATTTTTAATAATGGCCCACTAAACAGGACCATCGGCCACTAAACCCTTAGGAGCTCGCTCCCCAGACCCCATCCGTCTGGACACCCAAAATTTGGCAGGGGGGCCCTCCAGAGGAAAGGGGCTGGAGGCCCAGGCGCCCGAGCCCTAGGGTCACCTGTTCCCCACGACGCAGCCGCTGGGCTGGGCGCTGCCCAGCCTCTCGCCCCGCCGTCACCTCCCCCCCGACGGGCCGCGTCCACCGCGCGCCGGGCCAGGCCCTTAACCCAGGGGAGGCCGCCGCCAGAGCCGCCCCTTCCCCGTCCAGGCCCGCAGCCCAGGAAGGCTGGTGTTTCTGGGGACGCGGGCACCGGGCCACGGATGATTCGCTACGTGACCTTGGGGCAGGCCGGGCAGGTCGCCGCCAGGTGTCCGTGCCTCAGTGTCTCCGCTCTGCGAAATGGGGAGAGCCGCGTCAGCGCCGCGCTCCGGCCGCGGGAGGCTCGGCGGGGGCGAGCTCTGCGGAAAACGTGCGGCGGCAACCCCGACGGACGCAGCGCCCGCTCCGCAGGGAGCGAGGTGCGCCGTCCCCGGGCGCCCACCTCCCGGCCCGCGAGCGTGCCAGGCCCCGGCGTCCCCGCAGCCTCGCCCGGACGGCGGCCGGATCCTCGGGCCCGCTCCCATCCCGCAGCACCCCCCTCTCCCGTTAAGGGGCGCGCGAGCCC